GTATATATACTCAGGCACACGAATGAGATATATGCATGAGATATAGTCACATTACTAAAAGCACTAAATCGTACTCGCTAAGGTTAAACAATGACACAAAATGCATAAGTGACAAATATCATTAATAATAAATTCAAAACAGCCATGAGACAACCTACAAAGGCTTTTGTACTTTTATATTCCCAAAAAGAAAAAGGAACTGCGATATTGCCTGCGTATGTGTCAAAGCATAGCCACTTAAGGCGCTTGCAACACATAATAAGGTCATTTTTCAATTGCAGTTGCACCAACAGAATAGCAGCACTGGCGACAACAACAGCAACAACAAAAGAAGCAGCAACACCAACGCTAACACCAACGCCAACGTCAACAGTAATTGCAGTTCGCATTCATGGCGATGGCGATGGCGATGGTGAATTGCAATGGGCGATGGATGTCCGAGGTATCATGCTCCGGTTTTATTACGACACTCACACACAAATGCCATTTCGTTTATGTGTTGCACTTTTTATCCTCAGCCTTATGAGAAGGATACGTTCTGTGATGAAGTTAGCCGCGAGCAATGAACTTCTATGGATCTGTTTTTTTCTTCGTATTCATTCAGCAGCCCATTTGCATTATTATGCAAACAATTTTCTATTCATTGGCCGTTTGGCTGTTTGCCTATTTCCTCGACCGACTGGTGCTGGAACCTAGCTGCTGGTGTGCATGCGTTTGTATCCTTGCTGATTCCGAAGCTGTTGGCACTCGGTTGGCATGAATTTCATTTAAAATTGTATCCCATGATTTCGTTTCATTTCGTTTCGTTCAGTTTGTGCAGCCATAATTTTCAGTGCATATTTACAAGGACATCTTTTGTTTAAATTGGTCATTTTTTTATTAGAACTTTTGTGTTTTACGAAAGTTCTCTATTTGCTCGCTTTTTATATACTAAAGACAAGAATAAAAAATTTTTTTGAAATATATAGCATTTTTAAAACTGCTGCAGATTATGTCGTTGGGTAATAGAAACCATGGACATTGACTTGAATCGCCTCAAGGCTCTTTCGTATTGCAAATACATTCAAGGATGCCCGACCATCGGGCAACTGCTGGTTTGTGTGCTTATTTGATCAATTTAAAAATTATACGCTGCTGTGAATATTTTTAAAATTTTTTTTAATTTATAACTAAGTTCATTTTCTCTGAAACATGTCTTGTAACTGCATAGTGGTGAGAGTACAGTATTTGATATATACATATTTCAAATGATGGAAGAAATAAGGTTAAAAGTTTTGAAAGTGAGTATTTGATATACCATCTAATATGTTATGAATCAACTGTGTTGAGTTGAGTTTAGTTGTAAATCACTAAAACCATACACTCAGAAAAATATGCTTTAACCACATACTAGTTAAATTCAACTGATCATTTTGTTAGAAAATTGTAGCTCATTTGATAAAGAAGAAAGGAGAACCAACATGTGGCATGGTTAAACCCACATAATGCATCAAGTAAGAATATTTTTATCTGAATTTAGTTACAATTTAATTAAATCAACCAAATTATTTTTCTGAGTGTTTTGAGTGTAATAGAACGCATTGCACTGACTGTCGGAAGAAGGGAGCTTGCAGATGTACGTGTATTACTTACTGCTTAAGCAGGTTGCTAATGATATATTTATGCCCAGCCTTAATCTGGGCGAGGTGGAGGTCACTCACTCAACGTTCGCCATTCTGGCTTTCATACGGAAGGCGGAATGTCATCCATTAGGTAAGGATCTGTTGCAGCATAAAAGATCAACCATGGTTGGGAGCTGGTACCCTGTTTATTCCTATTTGTA